CTCTCCCAGACCTACACGCAAGCCTCCAGGCAAGAACACCTCCCATAGCAGGATTAGAAAGAGCAGGCAGAGCTGAGCCAGGGGCCCCATGCTGGTCTCTCCTTTTATATCCCAACACTCCTGCCTCCCTGGAGGAAGACTAAAGCAGAGGAAACAAGAAAATGTTTAGTAACTGGTCTGCTTGGGCTTGGGCATCCGCAGCTGAGAACAGATGCAGGCCCTAAACCATCAGTGAGCCCCCAGAACACGAAGACCGGCCCTGACATAAAGGGACCTTTAAATGTCTGCCCAGCATCAGATGTCTAGGTGGTACCTGGCTAATGTCCCTCCCTTGACCTGCCACCCACTCCTACCTCAGTTAAACCCGCTGGACACACGCAGTGCAAACTCCATGAAGACGTGTTGCCAAGTAGCCCAAGAAATCCAATCAGTGAGGACACTGGTTTTTTTTTGTTGTTGTTGTTGTTTTTTGTTTGTTTGTTTTTGTTTTTACTTTCTCCCCGACCCCCTTTTTTTTAGTTCTTTCTTTTTTTTTTTATTTGTTTGTTTGTTTGCTTTTTCACTTTTGGAGACAGGATTTCTTTGTGTGTACACTTGGCTGTCCTAGAACTTGCTCTGTAGACCAGACTGGCTACAGAATCCACAGAGATTCCCCTGCCTCTACCTCCCTCCCGAGTGCTGGGATTAAAGGTGGAGGGCACTGATTATAATGCCAAAATTCATTTTGTATCTACAAAGCATGGCTAGACTTTCAAAACTTAACCAAAAACTGTTTCTGCATTTGGAATCCAGTTGTTAACTAGTAATATATTTTGGTTATACCCAGATGGCCTGAGATCTTTCTCTCCTGAGTTGATGGCTTTGTCTGGAAGAGAAGGTTATCCATGAATGATGCAGCTTTATCAGCTACCCTATAAAGTCACTGGAACTGACGGTGGAAACCTGAAGCACTCCATAGGCGAGTTTTCATTATCCTCTTCCAAGACTTATCAGAGACTGTGAGAATTCCTCATAAGAATTTTTATCAGAATGAGGGTTTGGTAGAAAGTGGCTGGTTCCTGAGCAGATTTAGTTTTAAAAAGGTTGAACTCTCCTTTGAGTAGTTGTCCTGGCTGGGGCATCAGAGTTGTGAAGGAAGGCCATCTCTGCGGGAGTGGTGACACTGGATTGTCGTTGCTTGATGCTGGGAGGAGAGGGCAGAAGAAGACGTTAGGGAGTCAGGGCCAGGTATGAGGGACGAGGAACTGGCCAGCTTTGGATTCGGCGAGTTCTTTCTGGTCTCACTATGCTTTTGCTCAGTATCGACAATCTTTTAAGAGCCTTTCCTTTTGTGTTGCTCTTGGAAAGCTGAAAGGCACACTTAGTTCAGGGTTAGAACACACAGCAAGTACAAGGCTCTTGGAACCACCCCCTACACACACACACACACACACACACACAGAGAGAGAGAGAGACAGAGAGAGAGAGAGAGAGAGAGAGAGAGAGACAGACAGACAGAGAGAGAGAGAGAGAGAGAGAGAGAGAGACAGACAGACAGACAGAGACAGAGAGAGATAGAGGGAGAGACAGAGGGAGAGACAGAGAGAGAGACACAGAGAGAGAGAGAGACAGAGACAGAGACAGAGACAGAGAGACAGAGAGAGACAGAGAGAGCATCAATCTATCTTAGAGTTGGGCATGATGCTATGATGGTGAATACCTTTATTCCCAGCACTGCAGAGTTGGAGCAAGTTCCAGGGCAGCCTGGGCTACATAGTAAGATGAACTTCAACAAACACAGGAACGAATAAAAGCCTAAAATTAACATTAAGCAAAGGTAAGTGAGCCTGCATTTCATATTATGAGACTATTTTCAGATTGTTTTCCATAGATCCCGCTCAGTGTTAGTGAGCAAAACTGATTAATCTTCCAGTTAGTTTTATTTTGAAAAACAGCATCTGTGGCTTCTTTGAAAGGATGAACCAAACAACTCGGTGGTCATGTTTTTAAAACTTCTGCAGAGCAAAGTGATTTCAAGTGGTATTTACCAAGTCCTGATTGAACTGAACTGTAGAAGTTAAGTAAGAAGTGAATATAAAGGATTCAGCCAGGTGTAGATTCATCAGGTTTTTATTAAGCATCAAGAGAAGAAATTTTACTTTTTAAAATATACATTTTGTTGAGGGCTATAAACAAAGGAAAATGTGTTTCTTTCTTTTCTTTGTATTAATATAGAGTAAGCAATTGATTAAATCACTCATTCAATTTTAAGAATTGACTATCTTTTATATTTCAATTTGTTGGATTAATACAAATTAGTTAAAAATAGAAATAGAAAATAGAAATAAGTAGAAAATAAACACTAATTAATGAAAGTCTAATTTTACTAGTGTCATTTATAAGAGCCTTGTCTGGCCATGGCTGTGGTGGCGCACACCTTTAATCCCAGCACATGGGAGGCAGAGGCAGAAGGATCTCTGTGAGTTTGAGGCCAGCCTGGACTACAAAGTATGTTCCAGGACATCCAGGCCTACACAGAGAAGCCCTGTCTTGGAAAACAAAATAAAACAAACAAACCCAAATACAAAATAAAACAACAACAAAAAAAAAGAGCCTTATCTGATGACAAGAAAGAAATATTTCTTTTGAGACAGGGTCTTGATAAGTTAAAAAATAAACTCGTGTGTGTGTGTGTGTGTGTGTGTGTGTGTGTGTGTGTGTGTGTGTGAGAGAGAGAGAGAGAGAGAGAGACAGACAACACACACACACACACACACACACACACACACACACACACACACACACACACACACACACACGAGAAGGGTGGATAGCTGAGAATAACCGTGGGTGTTGGTCCTCACAATCCTCCTTATTTGATCCTCCTCTCCTGTTTCTCAGCACCCTGTAGAACAGGCTAGCCCTCTAGTTTCTTGCCTCTGTAGACCAGCCTGGCCTTCAGGTTTTCTGTTTCCACTTCCTGTATCTCTGCAGATGCTAGAGAATTACAGATAGGCTTTGCTGTGCCCTGTTTTATAATCGTTTTTTGAATATAAATTCAAAATACAGTTGCTCAGTAAGAGTTTTGTGCATTGACGCTATCTAGGCTTGCCTTGAACTAACTGTGTAGACCAGGCAGGTCTTGAACACTCCTTTATCTTCCTGCCTAAGCTTCCTGAATCCTGGGATTCAGGTATGAGCCATCACTCTTGGTCAGTTTACTTTAGACTTGGCTAAAAGAGTCATTGATACCAATATCAGTTTCCAAACAGGAAGATATTTGTAATGATTTCCACTTAATGGGCTCTACCCAATTAACAGGATAATTGTTCTAATAAAGTTTTAATAGTGAAGCTGCTGGGTAATTCTTTAGCAAAACAGTTGGCAGGTATTCATGTGCTCTGAAACAAAATGAAAGAAAAGAACAGTTAATTGAAAGTTGGTGAAACTGTTTGAAGAGAGTAGTATTCCAACAGGACCACAAAATATTAATTTTTAGAAATTACATATTACCCAGTATTTCAAAATATTATAAGAGATATTTTGTGGGCCAGCAATGCATGATTTGACTCAGCAGGGAAGAGTTCACCTATTATATGTGATTCTCTGCTCAATCTTCAGGATCATCAAATTATATATATATATATATATATATATATATATATATATATATATATGAAACAATATAACTTACACTTCCTTTAAAATGAGAGTATTTCATATATGTGAACATGTTAACTCATATAGATGGCTCTCATCTTGTGCAGTAATTTACGATCATATTTTCCAATTTATACTTGAAGCAGTAACATTCCATGAGATAACCTGTAGTCATACTAGAAATTTGTCTGGGAAATACATAGTATAAAATAAAATTGGGAGTAACATCAGTGATGCGTGCAGGAAACATCCTGAATTGGGATGTTGAAAATGATTCTTAATTCAGATTCTGTGGATTGTCTGGGTTCTAAGTAAATATTCTCCTTTGAAAAACAGAATTTCAGCATGTGGGGGCTATCAATTACTCATGGTTTTAAGTTAAAGCTTAGCTTGTTTGCCTTGAAACATTTTGTGTTTAGCTGTTTCTGCCATGAGTCTTACTCATTTGTTGAGCGATGGCTACTAAACTTTGCAGTTTGTGAAAATCCTTAGAAGTTGTTTGCTTTTGTTTTGTTTGTTGGAAGGGTCTGATTTCTTTCATGTGTCCTTCCTTGGTGAAACATAATTATGTGGTACGACATGATGCAAAAATAATGAAAAAATGGCATTTGCTTCTGATAAACACAGAGGGCAACTGAACGGGCCCAGGAATGAAAACAAAGCTTATGGGAAGACATTAAAGGGGATGGGTGTGGGGGTAACAGCCAGCCAGGAGCAGAGAAAGCCGAAGACTATGAACTTGGTAAGCAGAAAGTTGCATGGTATGAACTGTGAGGAACAAGTACGTTAGCATCACACGGACCCTTTGAAGACAAGAAAGCACCTGTACTGCTACTTAGTACATTCCTTCATGTCTTATACAGGGACATGTGGTTCATATGTTTGCTCAGAATATAGAGTAGTGTCCAGTGAAGCTTAAAGCTAAGATGCCCAAAAGTTCCTGGAAGAAAAAAGGAAATAGATAAGAGGAAAGTGGGTGACAAGTCAAGTCATTGTGCGTTTATATGTGTACATATATTTTCATATGTATGTGAAGATGTGTACATGTGTGTGCTTATGTAGACGTGTGTGCGTGCGTGTGTGTGTGTGTGTGTGTGTGTGTGTGTGTGTGTACCTGTGAATAGAGGCCAAAGGTCAATGTCAGTACTCTGAACTGTTCTCCACCTTACAGTTTGAGACAGTGGTTCATCAATGTAGAGCTTGTCAATTCGGCTGAACTGGCAGGCTAGCAAGACGATGCAGGGATCCTTTGGTCTCGACCTCTCCGGCACTGGGATTACAAATACAGGCTGTTATGCTAGCCTTCACATGCATTCTGTGAGATCAGCTCAGGTTCTCACGTCTGACCGCAAGCATCTTACCTTCTCCCTAGCTCCCACACAGCCCCGTTGCTCTGACTTCCGACTTTCCACAGGACAGACACATGGGTCAAGATGCACTTCTATTTTCTTTAATGCCATCCTGAGAGAACATGAAACAATAGCAGACACTGGGTGACTCATGGCAGGAGACGCTTTGCTAGCTCTGGAGGAGGCAATAGGATTTGTGGAGAACGCTGTCAATCCATGCTTGCACATATGTTTACCAAAACAAATCTCCCATGCTCAAGGCTGGCGTGAGGTTAAGAATATCCCATGTTCCCAGGTACCTTTGCCTCAAGCCCCAGAAGCTAGAAATACATAATCTCTTAATCGCACCCCCCCAAAAAACCCTAAGACCTAACACATGATAGATCAGTGCTCTATCCTTGAGCTACATTCCCAGCTCCCAAATCTCATTTTTTAGTTGACAAATAATAGATTAAAAACCAAAAGACTGTGTGATCCTATATTTATGGGGCAAACAAATTGCATTTGTTGGCAAGACTTGTTATGGTTTAGCAGTTTGTAACATCTGAGGAAAGCTGCCCTTACAGCTGATAATTTAAAAGGGCAATCTAAGGAGCTCTTGGAGTACAGAACAAATTAAACCAACATAGACAGAGATGTGGAGCAGACTATGTTAACAAATGGTCATTGTGATGATTCTTGAAGACCCCAAACTTCCAATCATCAAGACACAATGGTTTTCTTGACATGATGAACCAATATCCCACTGTATTCCAAGAGGATTTCATAGAACAGCTATAATGTAAAAGCACAGACAGAAACAAAACCAACATGTAAAGTGATAGCACGATGTCTACTTCTCTGGAAATTTCTGTTAGTAAATTTGCTCTTTAAGATAACATTAATAAAATTTCTGGTGGTTTAGCAGGACGAAAGAATGGTTAAAATGTGTTTCTGGCTCACAGAAGTAAGGTTTGGGCTTTGACAACTTAGTGAGTCATAGTGAGCTAAGATGGAAGTATGATGCTCTTTAGCATAATGTATAATTTGTCAAAGACATTTTGCCTTCAAATAAAACCTGGGTGCTGAGATTAAAAACATAAAGTTCCATTGACTGCAGTGTCTGAGGTTCTCCTCTGTCAGGTGATTGGGACAGGAAGGGTACAAGGGAGAACGGTTGTTCTATACAAAGAGGCAAGGCCACCACTATTTCAACTTTGCTGAACTCGGGGTACAAATGCCAATAAATAGTCTTAGTGGTGTGACTTTCATCATCTCAACACACACACATATACACACACACACACACACACACACACACACACACACACCTGTATATAAACAATAAGATCATTTATAGAAGAACTAGAAAACCCCTTCAACAAATTGCCATTATTTGTGATTGTCTTTACTAAAAAAAACATACAACATTTTCATTAAATTAAGTTTTGGAAATCACTCAGATTTTAACTGCAATCACCAATATGTGAAAATTTACAAATAGCTCACAACAACAAACTGACTAAAACAGGCTATTTAAATAAACTTACTCCATTTGTTAATAAGTAACCATGGTATGTATACTTATCATGTATGGTGATAAACATATTCTTGCAAGATTTCTAGGTTATTTTACTTCTAATATCTATGTCGGCTAAAGTGGTGCTGTCACATCCGGACCAAGTAACCTTGATGCTGACCGGAAGTGTATGGTGGTAAATCCACAATGATAGCATCCTGACTCCATTTACTTCATGAGCAACTGCAGCTGCTGAGTACTGCGGAAGCCACTGTTCTTCGGAAGGCTTCCGAGAACAGGTGAAGTGTGTCCAAATTACCTCAGCGGTTGGTACCCACTGTTCTATTCTGAGTAGTATGTAATCCTACTACTTCCTATGTCATGTAGAGTTTACAGTCAAGTCTCCAAAGTGTGAGCTGGCTGAGGATATGGCTCAGTGGAAGAAGCTGGCCCCGCACATGGAGGGGCTCTGGGTTCTATCCCAGGATTTGGGCCAGAGGGTGGTGCTGGCCGAGGACCTCCAGGACATTTTTTTTTTTAACTACTGTCTCTTTTTTCTTCTTCTTAATTTAAAAACTTAGACTTTAAAACTTAAGTCTTCTTTAGAGTATTGTCTCCCAAGATGTCAGTCCTACTTTGTTATGTCAAAGCCTTTTTACCATTGTCTCAGCTTCCTGGCTTTTCCTGACTCGTTTTCAAGCTTTGAGCACAGCAGATAACACGTGTGAAGCAGCGAGTGTTACAGGTGGGCTTTACGGAAGCGAGAGGCAGGCTCTTGCAAGTGTACCAAACGGCACAAAAATGCAATACAACTTTACGTGTAAAATGAAGACCTCTCTGGCAAGTGAAACCCAGAAGAATGTGTGGAGAGGCTTGCGCCACACAATGGAAATGAGAACTAAATGAACTCACCCTAAACTAGGACAGCGGCGAGAGGAGTGCCCTAGAGGAAAAATAGTAAAACAAATAAATACAAACTAGCAGAATGGAGTTTCCCAAAGCAAGGACCAGCAGGCAAAAAGCAAAAGCAAAAACAAAAACAAACAAACAAACAAACAACAAACAAAATACGTTTAGCAGAGGAGAGACTTAAATAAAAGCTAACTTTCTTGCATGTTTGAAATTAAAAGTGATAAGAAGCTGCGCTGTTTTGTAACCTTGACAAATTTGTGGGATTATTAATTGTTTGTCTTATTTGTGAAAGTTAAAATACACACACACACACACACACACACACACACACACACACACACACACACATTTAGTTGAGGAAAATTGCATGAATGACGGTGAAGACACAGTGGACAGTGAAACTTCCTGAACAGCATGCCTGTTGAGCATATTATGGGAATCCTTACATCCCTTGGCTTTGTGTGCTGTTCACAGGGTTGGCTGGTGTCCGCCCCTACCTCTCCTCCTGGCCTATCTGTTTACACCGACCACTTCTTTCTCTGGGGAGGGGGTGTGTTTGCCACTCTCCAGTAGCGCCTCCCCCAGCACACTGAGGAAAGCAGTTTCCTACGACGGCCCAATAATTGCCTTTATTATCCTTACATGTTGAAAATTATGTCAGCCTACAATTTCAACAAAAATGCAAAAATTGAAAATGAATATAGAAAATAATGTGTAAGTTTCTCTGACATGAAATCACCATGTGCTGCCAAATGGAGCCCAAATGGCCCCTAACAGGGGCCCTGTGCCAACAGTGGGTGATCAAAGACCTCCTCAGTGGCAGCCACAGCCAGCCAGACTGGTGGTGTCAAGGACAGTGCATCTGCATACTGCCCTGTGTTTTCTCAGCGATATTGTGCTAGAACAAAAAATATAGATATGGATGTACACATACACATGTTCACTTATATATTTTACAGAATTTAAATAATTCATCCCAATAAATTATTTAAATGATTTAAAAATTCCTTTGTCAAACAGATTAATGGAACCTTGTTATTCAAAAGATAAATCATTTTATATGAAGTGGCAAAGACTTCAAGGGCTAATAAAGGTTTTATGAGAGATAAACTTTTAATGAATTAATACTTTTGCATGCACTTTTTTTCTATATGCACAAATATATACAGATGTGTTTATATTGATATTTGTATTAACATTTTCTGATTTATTTCTTTTTTCTTAAAAAAAGGAAATAGTGTTCACATTATTTAAAACAAAGTGTTCTTATATATTTGGAGCTTAGGAGATGTACACTGCAATTCACCAAGTGAACTTTCAAACAGTGCTGTAAATGTTATTTGCATAAGAGATAAAATAGATTGGATTTTTTTTTCTGTTTGTAATTTATATGAATCTAGCAGTCATTACTCATGAACAGTTTTCTCCATGTCATCGTGTAGGTTGAAAGTGTATCAGGCCTGCAAAACTTTCTTCGGCACAGTCTAAATCAGAAGGATATTTAGCTCTAGAAACTCATGAACTAATATTTGTACATTAAGACCCCCAAACCCTGGGAAGAATTTTAAGGATTTTTATGAAGTTCAGTGCACATTCTTCAGCTCAATTTTGGCACAGTTTCAATTGGAGCCTCCACTGAAATTCAATTGGTTTATTTTATAATTAAAAACAAGGAAATCATAGTAACAAAAATATATAATGTATGGCAGTCTTGTTTATTATAGAAACATCCATAAAGAAAGAAACATGTTCTAACTTTTCTCATTACCCCAACGGGAATTGCATCTTTAATCACACAAGGCACAACTGCTTTCTAATTTTGTTTAAAGGGTTCCAGTACTTAGGAAAACCAGATCAGGTTATTATAAATCTAGAGCAATTAGAGGCACCAGCCTTCCGTCAGCTTTATGTAAGGGTTCTATGTATATCATAAATTTAATGGTATATTAAGACACGCATCTGTTTCAGTTTTGTAGACGTTAATAATCTCACTATAGAGTATTTAAACATTTCTTTCATTAACTGGAAAATTTAAGCAAAGATAAACTTGCTTCCGTTTTAAGGGACAATATTTTATAACTGATTTTGAAAACCTATTAATTTGTTCAAGAGTTTAAGATAGTTTTCTAAATATTTAATTCAGTATCTATTTTTTGACATTACATAGTTTATTTCTGTACATAAGCATATGCCATCCTTCTGATCTCAAATCCATACCTGCATAAAATAGCTTGGTATACATATGCATATGCATATATGTGTGTACTTATGTTCATAAACTTTAAAGTCACTTTACAATAGGGCACTAGAGAGAAAGTATGCATTAACCAATGGCATGAAAATGTCAAGATTCATTATTTCAGGTATTTCTCAGATTCTTAATTTGACTACATAAAGGTTTGTTTACTGTATGACTATATGCAGACAAACACACAAAAGCATCCCAAGAAATAATAGTCTTCTTGGGTTTCATATTATTTAAAAACAAGTCTCCATCTTGGGTTGCTTGTCCATTTACATTTTATAGCTGGTGTTTGTATTCAATTTCTCTCTGATTTTATTTTTAAAAAGCTTCTCATTATATCTATCACCTTTATCGTGGAGACTTGTCAGTTCACATACAACAACAACCCAGCATCATAATGAATTGTTGTGTTTCAATTACCATTAGATAACAAACAGGAAATTAGGTTTTCTTGCAG